AAGAAGTAAGGAAGGAAGGAAGGAATGAAGGAAGGAAGGAAAGAAGGAAGGAAGGAAGGAAAGACGGAAGGAAAGAAGGGCGGAAGGAAGGAAAGAAGGAAGGAAGGAAGGAAGGAAGGTTTCTGCTCTGCTTTATGCACAATCAATCCGCTGTCCAGACCGGGGAAACAACAGAGTCTGGACCAGCTTCTTTTTTGTTTTTTCGCAGATCAGGTTTGCAAATACGAATTGCAATCACCTCAGCAGTGATTAGCAAGCACGTTCTTATTCGTTTAGCATATATCCGGGGTATAGTGTGAACTATATTTTATGCATCCAACTTGTAAACAACATGCCCGTTATTGACGAGATGACTGAGAACTGAGCTTCGAATGCATCCAACCGTTCCCATGCGCTGATGGCTGCAGGACTATGCTCAGCGATACGTTTTGGTAATCACCTAGTTATGTGTTCCATGTATCGCACACTACAAGTGCAAAGGAAAAAAATATAAAATGAAAGATTTGGACTGATGAGACAGTTTATTTTTTGCTTGCTGGAACATTAAGGATTGGCTGGTAGGGAGAATATAAGGATGTACTATAGGGTACGTTCCACAACTCTAGCACTGTCTACCGCTAGCCTTATCACATTCACTTATTCCGAATGCGTGACACCCTGTCATTTTTTTCAGTCTGTCGTCTTTTTATGTAAAATAAATAATAATTGTTTTTTTCACTCTCGATTTATCATTCCTCCCGGTAAAACGCTTAAGTTAAAACTTGTTAAATTTTGATTCGACTAGCGGGAAGGTATATCAATTTATAACCCTCCGTAGCAGCCAGTATACGATTAAATACAACGAGAGGCATGGTTTACTTCGAGACGAAATGCAATTGAAAACCAGCCAAACATCTTGTTGGGTGCCGAAAAAGAGAAATTCCGGCGTGACTTACTGTAGTATTCGGAATAGGAATCGAAATCGAATAGCGCGAACTCGGGTTCGGACTGAAAACCCCTCTGAATAGCGCGAAAAGTCAGGTAGAACCAAGACGAGCCGTCCTATTTAGAAAATTATGCAAATAAATATCACAAGCATCAAACAATCATTGGTTTATTCTTCAGTGTCCAATGAACATCGATATGGTTCATTTGTGGGTCTTCTTGCATTGGCGCTCATACAAACAACAGGATTGGTCGGTTAATCCGTTTCTTGATGGGTTACCTGGAACCTGTACCGTGGTGCGTCCGTGCTGGTTACACGATCGCCACACTTACCCAAAACTAGCTCCGGCTTTGAGATCATACGGGAACTGGTGAATTTATCACATGAAACGGATGGTTTATGGGTTTTTCTTCACTAAAATATTCCAACGAATCGCGACGGTATGCATCAGCACGATTGTTGAACCCAAACGTCGATATAGATTAGCAGCTGTTCATTTGATTTTTGTACATTCATTGCGCAAAGATCAAAACAAATTTGTTCTAATACGTAATTCGTTACTTCTTTTCAACTTCCTCTTGCTGCAACTTTTCTAGACATATACCGAGGTTACAACAAGCAGCACCTGCTGGGATAACATCATCAAGAATATTCCAAGGTCAACTCTCCTACCTCAAAATGACTGGTCAGCCGACGGATAAACCGGGTGTCGTTCTCCCGTTTGATGAGTTCATAACCAATAACAATACCCTAATCACATCACGTTCAAAACTCACGGGATCGGACGTGTTAAAACGGCAAAATCAATCGCCCGGACTGACACCCACTCGTGTCGCTCTGTACCGACAGCTTAATGTGTGGCTGATTCTCAGCCTGGTGCTTGTTGGATCAACAGTACTGTTCTCGCTGGCTTTTCTTGTCTATCGTTGTCGTCTCAATCATTCCGCCGCGCTGGGACCCAACGCGAAATCGATTATGCATCCAACAGCAGCTAGCACGACCGCACGGAGTGAACACAGATTGGACGGCAGTACTGATAATGAGACTACTCGAATGTTTTGTGAAAGTTCCAATCCACCCGGTCAACAGAGATACCCCATCAACGCCCTAGGTTTGGACAGACAAAACTCTACACCGTACAAGCCAGCATCGGTTATACAGTGTCCTATAAGCCGATACCCATGTTCTCCCGACGCCCAATGTTATCCCATACCGGGACTCGGTCCAGGGGTTGAAGACACCCCTGTGTAATTTCCTTCCTGAACTGTAACTGAACTCTGTGTCTCTGCTTAGGTCACAGATGCCTCTGTTCACAAATGTGGATTATCAGTACAAACGAAACCAAGATATAAATTTATCACGAGCTAGCAAGAATTTTGGATAATGCTAAAATAAATTCGTCATTCCGTTTCCCACGGTGTCGAAACACTCGAACTCTATCTTTCACTTCCTAGCCGGGCATTGCCTCATTCAGTTCATTATTGATGGTGTGGCAATACTGGATTTGAAACACTGTGATTTCGGGAAGAAAATCAATAATTGCAACATTGTCAGTCAAACTGGAGCTGCATGGTCCGAGGTGTACATGACGAAAA